TAGAAATACAACATACCACGAGTTCTTAAACTATGTTTTGTCGAAGATCGAAGGTTGAAAACGAATACTTTATAATCGTTAAGATTTACGTGTTCAAATCTCAACCTTAATTTTAAGACTAGAAAAGCAGTTTATGTTTGGGTTTTTACTGGTCTTCCGAAATTTATAACGATAAAATAACACAAAGTTTTTCTCAATGGTAACGAGTCACGCAATTCGGATGTCTGGGAGGTGTGAGGAATGAAACCACTGGAATTATTCATGAAGGAACGCGATTAGACAAAACAAACACTGAAACACGTAAGACATTTTAAAATATTCGACGCTGCAGTTTAAGATAAAAAAACACAAACCGAGATGGAAAATGCCTTATGTGTGCAATGGTGGCTGAAGACATCATAGGATTAGCGACACAGATGGCCAGAGACAGCGTGGAATTATCAATTTAGAAGGCAAAATGAGTTGTTAAGAAGACGATAAGACACTGTAAAGGCTGTTTTCAGACCTGTGCAGGAATTCTGCTGCCTAGTCAAAGAATACAGTGTAATCAATGTTGCTTAAGCTTTTCTCATGACCTAGAACGAACATGAATCTGGGACGACCCGAAACAATTTTCCTGATCGTAATCAAAGAGCTTATCAGTGTTCCGGTATCCATCATTCTCTAAGTACAAGGCGTTCCTCTAATCTACACCTGATAAGAAATATTATCTTATCCATATCTCTACCCCCTATCGGCGTCCTTAAGGTAGACCATTACTACTTATATGGAAAAGAGTACTTAGCAGCTGAATATGGCTGTTTTCTGGGTTGTAGCGCCTTGTAGTCTTGAGGAGTGAGTAATCGCCTTGATGATGGAGGCAGCAAGGACCTCTGAAACGTCAGTAAACTTCTACCAGACTACACGGCGCTACAACCCAGAAGACAGTCATCTTCGGACTCACCACCGTGAAAACCTCATATCCTACTCAGAAGCTGATAGTCTCTAAGTTAGTCTGGAAAATCCCCACATTTTTTGGAACCTAATACGTATTATTCACACTCGATAGGGGCACAGAGCAGGACAACTCACATTTTGAACACATCTGATGACGGGAGCTGAACTAACCATAATGGCGATACAATGAATTATCCATGGCCACCTCATTAGAAATGAAACGAAGTACGCGAGTGATCTCAGAATGTCAGAAAGCACTCCTGGTTTTTCGAATTTCTTTTCAAAGCACAGAATGAATAAAATACGATTAGTGAGAGCCACACGTCAGATTATTGCCATGCAAATTTACTAAAACTTTTACCGTCCTTTGTAAATAACGTTCTTCGGCTAGCAGAAAACATGTTCCTGTGTTAACAATAACGACTCTGTTACGGGCTGGAAGACTGGGCTTCGAGTTCCTATGGACAGAGCCTTTCTCACCCACCACAGCGACCGACCACCTGTCAGCCTTTTAACCTTGTATACCGTAAACTCTTCCCCGGGGGTAAAGAGACTGGGCTGTGTTGCCGACCATTCACCTACTTTTAGTCTAGTGTTCCGCAATTTTTTTGCTCGCGGCATAGCATAATTCATCAAGCATGCATGACGTCACATTATAAAATTTAGCCCACGAAAAGGAGGTACGAAACCATATCTGGCCGTAAATATGTATCTACGAGTAAATCCTTGCCCTGTAAGAATACAGGCATAAGAAAATACATGTTGAATTCAACTAACGATGATGAACCAGTGTGTGTACGTGTATTACAAAGTTTAATTAATAAAGATGTGATATTGATATTTTTTTGTAATAACGTGGGGATATAAAATTTCTTACAAAAATTTCGCAGCACATTTGATATCTTGTGATGGTAAATCATTTTCAGAATACTGTTCTAGTGAGAAGGTTAAGAATTCATTGAGCTATACCTCCACACCCCCATATGTCTGCACGGCGCGGGGTATAACTTACGACCTGGGGATAAATTTACCATGCGTGAACAACAGGTTTGTTCTTTCTTCCACCGCCGAAGTTGCCTGATATTGTTGGAACACCAGATGTTATGTTTCCTCGAGGGACTGAAAAAAGAAATATGGCGCGAAGGAGGGTGGGAGAGGGAGGAACAACTTTGCTGCTCTCAAGTCTCCCGGAAGAAAAGAAATTCAATACCGGCGACGAAGTACATCAATTTAAACCGTTATTAGCCTCTTTGTGCGCAGAAAGAAACTATTTAAAACGGTTTGCGCAGAGCCTACAAGAAGGTAGTCACAAATCTACTATTTTGCCTGTTATTAAATATTCCCTTGTATTGATTTAAACATTCTAGAATGAAGAATCTAGAGATGAACATCTAGACTGTAGGCTTAGCAACATTTGTATTTGTGAGTTCTGTTCCTAAATCTCGGCCCTAAAACCGGTTACAGTAACTAAGGTGTTTCGTGGTTTTCTTCAGCTACTTTTAATTAGGCTACGATCTCTTACTTCCACGCCGTTTCGACTTCATTGTTGATTAATCCTGGGACTCATTGCTGTAGCCCATTGTATGAGCTTGTGATAACGTCTTAAGTGACTAACATCAACTAGAAGTCGCTCAGATGGTCAAGAAACCCTCCAACTTTTATGAAACCCAAAGGTTTATTATCGTGTTTACAATAGCCTGCCAGCAGTCCTTATCCTAAATCAGATGAATCCAATTCATACAATCCTATCACATTTGCCTAGGATACATTTTAATATTATCCTCCCATTTACTTTTAGGTATTTCAAGTGGTATCTTCCCTTTAGACTTCAAATCAAAATTATGAACGCATTTCTCATCGCCTCACCCATTTCATCTCGACAATATTCGGTGATGAGTAAAAATTATAGAGCTTCTCATTATGCAGCTTTTTACAGCTGTAATCACACAATTTCGCTTTCGTCCTTAGCAACATATTATCAAACGCTGTTGTCATTAAGCAGTATAAATCATAAGTAATTAATGATCAGAAACTTGAGAGCAAAGTTAACAGACAGTTGGGTTAACAGATAGGGTCAGAAAATAGGAATAATGCTAAAATATATATAAATTAGTGAGATGCTTTTATTAGTAATAAATTCTAATATATTACTTCACTACCCCAGAAGGTTTATAACAATGGTTAATTTATTGCACAAATATTATGTTAGACATTTTCCATTGCCCAAGATACATTTAAAACAAACGACGTTCGTCAAATTTGAGATATGAGGCTGTCACTAAGTTGAAAGTGTTGGTTATGGTCTTGTGGGTTGTGACACCGTGTGGTTCTGCAAGTGGACACCGCGGCGTCACAACCCAGAAGACAACAATTAACAATTCTCAATTTGTCTCTACTCTCGTCTTCAGTTGACTGTTTGTCATTTAACTGGCAGATACGTTTATCCTAAGATTAGTTGCTCCGCTTGGGATCGAAACCTCGATATTTCGAATACGAGGCTGTTAGATGACTCTTAATCACCAGCCTGTCAAGTTTTGATCATATACCCAGAAGTATCTTCTATCTATGACGTTTCATGCTCGCCTTCTCAATGAGAGCCGACAATTGGCGCACTTAGTTCACAATTTCCTGGTAGGTGGCGTCACTATCCAGCTGTAATTCCACAGGTATAGAGAAACGAGCACTGGAATTCTATTTCTGTTTGCATAGCCGACTCCATATCTGTTTTTCTAACGTCCTCTGTAACGTTTTAACAATGTTATTCTAAATTGTGAGTGACATCAAAACTGTAAACAGATGTCTCAGGCATAAAAAAGGAGCACAAAATATGTGATGGTACATGTAAAACACATTCGTATTGAATTGACTTTGTCAGATTATCGACTACATAATCGCAGGGAGAAAACTTCTTCCGGACTTGCTCGACACAGAATACAGCCGTCTTCAAACAATACTTGTTTCAGAGGGTTAACTACGCTGATTATCATGATAGGGTCACCTAAACCGGTCTATCCGCATGGTGTACCTTTAAATTTAATTAATTATTTTACTAAAATTTGTGTTGTCATTCAACATTTGTCATCATGAAGTAAGATAAACAACGAATTCTGGATTAAACGGGAGCATACTTTCATCGGAAAAATATCTTCTGATCGAGAAGACAGAAGAGAATGCTCTACACGGCTGGGGTGACAATATCTAGCGTCACACGCGACACGATGAAGTTTCACAGGAAGTGAGATTTATACCTACAAAATCTGATCATCATTGGTTCATAAATAGTCATAATATATTGACTGAAATAAATTCCTAATGCTTCTAGCCAGATTGTAATTATCAAGGATAAGCAATTATCCCTTCACCACGAAACTCAACTAAATAATTTTTACAGAGTCAGTTCCTACCGTAAAGAGGACAGAGCACTTCTTTATTACAAAGATCAATTCGTTAATGCTACGCAAGATATGATTGCTGTTTACGCTAACAAAGTATAAAAGAATATTGGGAAAAATGTAAAATTACTTATTGTTAAGGCATGTTGTGTATGTATATAATTGGCTGGGTTTCAAAGCGTTATTAAGTGACTGGTTCAGTCAACATAGTATCTAAAATGAGATGTGTGTGTTCTTTGGTGGGATGAACTGTTCGATTTGAACTTCCTGTAAAACATTACCTACAATCACCTGTTATGGAGCAAAATTGTATTTTGGGAGCTACATATAAGGATAGATGGAAAGACGTCATTCAAATTAAAGCTAGAACCTTTTGTTCTCACTGAATGATAACTACATTATATTATTAAATGTATTACACCGAAATGCATCTGCCCTGTAATTAAACACCAAATAAACGTCCTATCACCCATCTGGAAGACAGCTGTGTGATAAATAACAAATTACCAATGAAAATATTATTTTGATGCCAGCTTATTAACCAACTCATTTAAAGCGATTCATCAAAATACTTGTTCCTTTGACAAGTCAAAACATTAAACACGTTGATCTGTCTGTGATATAAACGTACACCATAAGGTAATAGAAATACAATAAATGAAGACACCCTCGTAAACAACACAAGATTGTTTTTAATTGTAAAATAATGTACACTTATTTATTCTTAATTTTCCCCTAATCTTTATGTTCCGCAAAATAATAAATTTTTAACTTTCAGCCTTAGGGATGGGATGGAATAGATGCATGTACGTACATTGGTGTTCGCCTTTTTCTCCATTCCAAGCAATGGATTCTGTTACGCTGTTTTGGTCAGAAGGAAATATAGGTCACGGGCAGTTAACAGTCACACTGATAATACTGATGGTTCTTTCAAGGAGGCAAATATGGCTTTCGTATCTTATCTTTAAATGCACAATAAAAAGCAGTAATTTTAGATTATAACATTCATATATAAACAGATTAAACAATTTCTAGAAAAATTCACTACCACAAACAAACGACTTTATGGACAATCAGAAAAGAGTAGCTAATCATTTCTAATATACAGAGAATAACTTGCAAAAACTATTATTAACAATTACAAATCGCGTTATTATATGTATGATATAACAATACCAAATCATATATACATATATCGAGATAACTTTTATTTTCCTCATTCTTTCTGAGCAAGCATTTTAACTAACATTAGAATTATATTTCATGTTTTCACAGCGGTGAAAATCTCGGTCCTGTTTGGATGTGTCTTGTGGCGTCGTTTCGTCTTGTAAATAAAATTACAATAGACACTCATTCTGATTTAATACTGAAAGTATGTTACAATGCCTTTTAAATATCACTAATTGTCTCTAATAGGACCAATCATATTTTTATCATAATCATGATGTCAGTGTCATTCTAAATGGCAGGAGGATTAATTTGTTGGTATTTATTTGAATTTAAAATATTTTTATATTCAAAATACATAAATTAAATTTCATTAACGGCCAGTCAAATACTAAGAAAAAATTTTTCCTGAAGATTTGAGATTTCATATTTAACTGTTACGAATAATTGTTATTAATAAGTTAACATCGTTTACTTTTAGAATAAATATTGATCTTCCAAAGGAAATAAATATTTACTACTTTCGTAAACAATTTTGAATATTTCAACGACCATCAAGCTTGAGGACATTTTGCCAATAAAATTCGTTAACGATAATTGCAGATTTCACTAAAAAAATATCCACAATTACGAAAAATACCTGCTCTCGTCGCGTGATGGCAACTTCAGTTGCTGCTTGCGAAGTCTCTGCCTGCCTGATACATTTCCCGAGACCTTCTTCCCCCCTGCACAACTTTCTTCTCTTCTATTTAAGCAGCTGATTAGTCCAAACAATACAGTTTCTGGTCGTGGGTTGTTCGTTGAAATATTTTAATATCAATAATTTATCCATCTGGCCATGACATCCTTATTGAATCGATAAACTTAATAATATTTGATTGACAGAAAAAATTATAAGGCTCCTCATTATAAATAGAATTTTCTGCACCCTTCTGTTACTTTCTTCTATCTAATTTCCTCAACTCCTTCTTCTGAAACACCCTCATCCTTCACTTCGGAGGCAAAGCTTCGCGCCCACATAAAACAACAAACAATATCATAATTTCTCCGTACACTGTAACTACTTAAATACTTGTAAGTATAAATATTCTGCATATTATGTCGTTCATTTAATTCAGTTTGCTACACTTTTGCAATTTTGTTTTCGGACAGTTTGCCTGTAGACAGTCGGTCATATTCGTTGTTATTATCGGAAAATTGGACTCTTCATATTCCCCACAGAACAGTAGGCCTATATTAGTTTAGAAAAGGGCCACATTTACACCGTACAATCTTGAAAGAAATTAGAATAATTTTTCATCCATTTTCATGAAACATTTATAAGTAAAAATCATGTTCACAGTCAACACAGAACCGTAATTTTAATAATAATTTAGGAGACAAGAACAAAGGTAAATTTCTTTAATTCAGAATATCTAAGGTACTGAATGTCGATGTTTTATTGTATATAATGTATCAAATTAGATTATTAGCCTATATAATTTATGTTTGTTTTTTTAAATATCACTCCTTTAAGTTATTTTAGTAACACACACTAAATAACGTGGTGTATTTATGTTTATAAAATTCCCTTACGCTGTGATTAGCCCTATAAAAAAGTTATCAACACTTGCTTTTACGTTTAACCCACTTTCTCAATTCGTTCAAATTTGCATGCATAAGAAATGGTACGGCATATAAATATAAAGACAGTAATACAGAATAAATATACCACATAGAATTCAAAGATTTCTGCACTTTTTCTTTGACTATGCTAGTCAAATTAAAGAGCACAGATAAGCACTTCGCTATATACAAGCACCAAATGTCTTGGTAGATAATGGATACACTTAAAGTTAAATGTAATTTTCTTAATAACATTGAAATATGCAATGCTCTATAAAATGCCCGGAGAAAAACCACGATAAATACCGTCTAATTAGAAGGAATAATTTTCGAAATTTAAGACACTACACTATACTCTTAAGATTTAAATTTCACTATTTGATATTAATCTAGTATAAAACAATATTCTGTGCAAAAGGCTATATTCTCACTAAGTAATCATAGGGCCTATTTATTGTTTATAGGACTACATTAAAATGAAACAGCGGTACATTAATAATATTAAAACAGTATTATAATCATAACTGTGTATTTTTACTAATGGTTTGCTTAACGACACTGGAAATGGCTCTAATTATACATCTTGTGATATGGTGATTAGAGAACAACGGATGTGAAAAGTTGCTGAAGGAAGTTATCGTAGCCCAACTTTTAGTATCACCCTGGTATTTTCCTGAAGGGACTGAGGAAAACCACGACAAGATAGCCGGTCTCCGAGCAGAGACTTTATCCCGGGACATCCTAAATTTGAATCAGGATTGCTAACCACTCGACCCTGATGTACCTTTGTAGTCAGAATTAATCGCATAAAATACATTCGTTATAACTCTATTGGTGATGTCATAGCATACTTAATTTGTATAAATTCAAATTACGTGTTATCTACTCATTTAACAATAGTAATCTTGCCATGAGTCTGAAATTGAAATGCACGAACGAGACTTTGAAGCCCCTTTTTCTCTTCAATCAGTAGCGAATATAAAAATAGTTATCTCCGAAATGTTTTAAGTTTACAGACCACAGCGACTCTTTTCACTAAACGAATTGTAAGTTACCTCAGAACGGAACCTGATACTGAACACGTTTTCAGAAGTACGGATAATTATATTGCACTTAAATAACAACAAAGAATACGCAACAAACTATTGTTATCACTAACAATTAGTTAATTATTAAATTAAACCAAAACCATTGCTCAATATATGGACATAAACCATATCCATTATCTTCCAAAAGTTAATTCCTTACATTATTTTAAATGGAAGTATATAAGGGTTACAAGTCGACCATATATACTACATGCTATGGGATTTCATAGTAATATCACTACTTACCATTATATAAACATATATATATAAGGACGGGTTATCTTCATTCAATGCATACAGTTATTTTAATTACAGAGCTGTCCGTAGTAAATTACATTACCCAGAATAGTACCAGCACCACTTTCCATTTCCAAATAACATCTAGCCAAAAAGTAAAAGAAAATAAAACCTTGATAAGCAGTAAATTTAACACGCTTGCTGAGCGTGGATGTCTGTTACTTCTTTCCTGATTCCAAAATATTGTCCTTGACACTTTGATCTCTAACACACTCAATCTCTACGCTTCAAATTTAACATCTACACAAAATGCCATGGCTGCTGCTCAAATATTTAGACCTAACATAGAAATACAACGAAAGGATTGTGTTATCTTAAGCAATGTAAAGTTAGGTTAGGTTAGGTTAGATTAGTCACATTAACAGTAAATAAACAGCAAATTGAGCTGAAGGTACTTGCGGTCATCGTACAACATCAAATGATTATCACATTAAAATAATGTAAACAATAAAATTATATTAAAGTTTTGGCTATCCAATTTTGTCCATATTTATATCCTTTTTGAGATCATAACTAAAATGTGAATTTCACTAAAAACTGCCATTTTAAAAATCGATTATATATCAGTCGATTTTTAAACAGACATGGCGTCATAATTGTGCCTCTATATTCTGTATCTGGCAGACAATCTAGTGCAGAGTAATTTATTCATACACAAACATAAAAGTTTAAGCTGAGAGAATTTTAAATTCTGGAAATGTAGGTTATAATATACTCTGAGAGCAACTCTGTTTACATATTTTGAAGGGTTTGGTAAATAAAACATTTAATTTACATTCACATACACACACATGAATGTGAAGGTTTGGGTGAATAACACCGAAGTTGGTCCTCAATTTCATTTCATTTAAAATAAAATTACATTACGTGACAATTCTCAATTTCATTTCATTTAAAATAAAATTACATTACGTGGCAATTCTGTTAAAAACCTACCTATCTCGTCTTCCACTGCCGGATGTCCTTATTCTGTTATGGCCAAGTCATAAATAACTTTTCTATTTCCTGCAGTTGTTCTTACTTAAGTGGACAGAGAACTTCTTTGTTTACATTACAAACTGCGCATGAATCTTTGTTTATCCTAACTGGCATTATAGGAGGTACCTTACGGTCTATTTCGAACATAGTTTAATAATTAATTTCAGTTTCCTAGACGTTAAAAAATAAACATATTGCGAACGAACCGATTGTGTATATGTGGACCATTGGAAAGCTCTATTTCTAAGCACCTGCTTGAACTGGTTCTGGGCTCTGCGATAGACGGTCGAAGACTGTGGAAAGATTTAAAATTGTGCATGCAATATCCCTCTGCTGGTCCTTATTCTGAGTCAAATCAATCAAGTCCACATCCTCACACCGTATACTTTTAAGAACCATTTTATTATTAAAATGTCATTTACGCCTGCGAGGTTTTACAAACAATATTTTGGCAATTACTAAACAATAAATTCCATTTCCTCTTATGGGATTTGATTTTCTCACGGCGGTGATGTCATTTTGGTTTTTCTGAGTTGCAAGACCTTGTCGACATGTAGATAGACATCAACATTGTTAAGAAACATAATGCCTCTTCAATCTTGAAGTTGGAGACAGTAGGATCTTTCGAAACGTTGGTATCTACCCACGAGTTAACTCGGCACTACAACCCAGAAGACTAAATCAGAAGCAGAATTTTTATTTTTTGTTCATATTTAACTTATCTGTTTTTGAAGGAATATGAGACAGTTTAGTGTCTGAAAGTGGGAGTACGCCTAGCCATTTCAAGCCCGCTGATATCTGCCGCATATTTAATTCATTCACTAATTATAAGTAGAAGCAGGCCACAGTTCATAATCCGCGAAATTTTATTAAGAGAGGACTTTACGGGGCACTTCTTAACTTTCACCACATTCAACATCGCTTAAATTTTCAGTTTTTCATAAAGGATATAGTGGTTATACTTCAGAACGTCTCATATGACTACCGTCCCTCTAACTGGGACTTTTGGTACACCCTCATGGCCCATTTAAACATCGAACAAAATACAGTAACTTTTACATAGCCTACTTTATATTTATGCGTGTCTTAATATTTAAATTATAGAAGTTTTTGAATTGGAATGTAAAGGTTTGTTGCAGTTGAGTTCAACTTTCGTTTCTAAATAAGAAAAACAGATTGATTCTTGGATCAGATTATACAGAATGTTCAAAAAACAAAGCAAACCCCATTTCTGACACTTCTTATATATCTGTCAAAAACAAAATGACATTAAAATTATAAAACATAAAAGAATTTTATGATAAATGTTGGAAATACCCTCCGCGTTCAGCGATGCGTGCATCAACCATTTTCCTCACGTTTGACGCATCTCGGCTAAGAATTGCTGTGCCACGGAAATCGTTCACCAGACGAGATACTGTCGATTTGTTTACTACAAGACAATCGGAAAATGTGTCCCTAACCTCACTCTGGAAAGTTAAGTAAGAATGAGATGCCATGTATTTTTCGACACTGTACACTCGTTTCACTTCGACTGTTGAAAGACAACTAACAAACCTGTGCGGCAGGTTACGATATATCGTGACCTGCGCGGGTTCTTGTACAATAACAGCGATATAGTGTGTTTCTTAATAAATTGAACTGTATAGAATTACAGCTATCAAAAAAATATTCTAATAATGATTGCGTGATTTTTTTATCATCCTCCGTCAACCCTTTGAAAGCGGAGAAAAGGAGAGGTAGTTACGAAACATAGCAATAGAGTAGAAGCAAAGGGAACATTTTTGGGAGAGAAGTGGGAGATACTTGATTTCTGTGGGGAGGGGTGGGAGGGGTGGGAGAGACCATCTTATATTTAAAAAGTTTTCAGGCAATGCCCGTTCGCCCTTCTGGTAAGGACACCGGAGCTAATCTAAATAACACCTAAAATTGAGTTTCTACCTAGAAGAAAACACACCTTCCCCATTAAGGAGATAAATTGGTTAATGCTGTTTGACGATATAATCACAATTTACTCTAATAATTATACGAAATCCATAATAATATTCTCTGAGAAAAATGCAGAGTTACTTACTGTTAAATAAAGTAATATAGACTATATACACACATAAATGCATTTTAAAAGGTTAATTTGCAGTCATAATTGTCTACATAATTTTTAAATTAAGAACAAAACTTTAGAAAATGCATGTAGGATCATTAAATATGGTAATCTTTCATATATACTAAAGATTCATTTCATTTAAGTTCCATACTTCAGTTAAATACAGTCGTACATAACCGACTGTTAAATGTTGAATTCTAAAATTTATATGAAGCGAGTTTATGGCTATTATGTCACCAGAGCACCGAAATAACGATCAACGTTATTTCTTTCACACAACCTTTATAATTTGGTTTTGTAGTTTACCATAAAACATTTAAATTTGATTATTCCATTTAAGTTCATTGGTCGTGAAATGGTTAGTTGTTTTCGACTGACAAATTCTAGTTTGGGTGGCTATGATGGGCCCTTCCTTCTATTTTACTTCCGATTTCTAATTCTCATGATCTGGATATCGTACACGGTTTCCGTGATTTATATTCATTTGACTTTAGTTTGTCATATTTTAAAATCTGTCCAAATTTACCCGTAAACATATGTGACATAATTTAATTTTGTTCTCAACACGAAAATACGTATTTATTTCGTCACACTAACTTGTTATCTGATCAGATGGAACGAAAGCTTTATTTTCATATTCCTGTGATTTAACTGGGGCTGTGTCACTGGCTTCTGATGAATCATTAGCCACAGACTTCTCTATCTCATCTAGTGGAGAATTCTCGTTACGAAACTTCTCGAATTTCGGAGAAAGTCCCGGTCTTGTTGCCTTATCTAGAATCAAACTTTTGGTTGTCTGTTTAATCTGCGTATAAAGTTCCGGTGTGATAACGGAGAGTGGACTTCTCTGCGTTGGAGCCGAAACACAGTCTTCCTCAAACTTCTTATCTTTTGCCTCAGTCGCAGGTTTGTCTCCTTCTGGTTCCGTCGCCAAATTAACTCCAGACTTGTTATCACTAATACGCTCTGCACCAGCGTGTTTTTCATCTAGCTCAGTAGGAGCAGGGGGACCGTCTTGTTGACTGTCCTCCATTTTGTCGTTCACAGAAGGTGGCGTAGTGATCCCGTTAGCGACAGCCAATACAACACTGCCATTCCCGAGTTGTCTCTGTTCTTCCTGAAGTCGTTCATCTTCTTGAAGTTGTCGCCGACGTTCTATAGCTTGTATGTCGGAAAGAAGGCGACCACTGACCGGAGTCACGTCAATGCTGTATCTTCCTCGCAAATGTCGATTAATACTTACTTTATCGCTACTATCAGTGACAGAAGACGCCCTCTTCATTTCAGCCGTCGCCTGGTTATTCCACCTTGGAACCACCAGTTTCCCACCACCTGCAGTTCTTTTAGCTTTCTCATCACTAGCAGTGTAACCAACATATTGAGGATACCCAAAATGTCCCCCTTCGTATCCGACCTGGTTACCGTAACGGTAACTCGGATTGTTAGAACCTGACGATGATATGCTGAGATCTGATTGGGAAAGTCCTGTGTTTGTGTTCGCACTCCTGTCTTGATCATCTTCGCTTGTTCCGTCACGAGTAACTTTACGTTCTGTCATGTCTTCCTCTGTGTCTTCATCTTCTTCGTCTTCCAGTTCGTCTGACATATCTTCAACCGATACTTCGTCGACGTCCATGTCAGGAGGCCGGTGAACTTGTGCTCTTTGACTTGAGGACCTCCTGCTGCCGTCCTCCTCGTCGATGTCTTCCTGGGAGCTGACTGCTGAGGACGAGAGCTTGGGGTACAGATCGGAGTCGCTGCTTCGCGCAGCCCCACTTTGCTGCACCTCTACCACGAATACGTTGTTCTCGTTCGGAGACGACGACGTCGTAAACTTCGTCGTCATAGTTTTGGTGCTGCCGTTTCCTAACGTCACCTGTGAATGTTACAAAGAAATTGTATAAAATCGCTGTATGTGAGTATGAAGTCATAAATACTATTCTGCAAAATTTCGATGTCATTTACTATAACATATTTCCTTTTGTAACTAAGTCTTACATTGCATATTTTTAGTTCTAAGAACAAACTTATGTAAAGTTTCATGTCTCTTATTGTCGTACTGCCGCAGACATATTAATTTAAGCACGAAATTGTATATATAGTTGCCCAAATAAAAATTCGCAAAACCTCTAACGCCGAGAAGAAGCTCTTTCCAAATACACTAATAACGTGTAATTTTGCAGACTCGGATTCCTTGTCGACAGTTCACAACCTGTATTGTGTCTTTCACGAGTCTCGCAAATTTCAATCTTTACGCCACTTCACGTCCTTCTGTGAAGAAACTAGAACGAAAGAATACAGGAAAACCGACATTCACATCCTGTCAGCCGTAAATAGTAACACAAAACCTCGTGTGAAGTGGCGTGTCTCCTGTCTATTCATATATGACCATTGTGTCTCGAAGCCTGTAGCTCCAAGACTCGAAACTAATTTTTGTTTCTTTACTAGTTGTTTGCAAAAAAGTGGAAAAAGATATCTTACTTCATACTAAATGTCTGTATTTCTGGTTTAGTGTCGCAGAATGTTATAATAAGGCGAAAATGCTGTTATATTATCACTAATTGTTTGACGATTTTAATCCTGGTTAGTGTCTTAAATGTATTTCACTGTTTGTACAAATCCTTGGTTTGTATTTTCAAATTATACATAATCGCTCAGAATAACACCAAAGTTTTATTTGCACTAAAACTTACGCATGTTTATGTGGCAATTCAAACATTTCAAAACGTAATATGATGATGTGAGTAATGTTACTTAGCCGGCAGTCTGCAGACTTAAGACATTTCAAGGTAAGAATTATAATTTTCATAGTTATTTTAGTAAACAGCTAAGATTTAGGAAAATCTATCAAGTTTTCCAGAGTCCACGTTAAGGAGGTTAATGTCACTTGCGTCGGTTTCTCCCAGAAAACGTCAATTCAGCTCCGTCAGTCACGAATGATTCGTATAATCTACTGCCACCCCTGGGATCCAATAGGACTGCCCGAACAGTATGCTCGCATCACCTCGGCCAGCGAGAAGCCAGAGGTCAGAGGTCAGAGGTCACGAGTGAAGCCCCCTGGCTTAATATCACACCGACTGGACTTCGTAACTCAAGAAACCAGCCAAGCTACGTTCGGCTTCTAAAGCTCATATGATCACGTACTTCAAGAGCGCAATCAGAATTGACTTAGAAACACGAATTCGAAACAAAATATTTATATAATCGAAGCAGCAAACTTTAAATTTATACGAGTAATAACAATTTCTATAAAATTAGATGATTAATCAAGATAAGAATTAAAAGATGTTAATCCTAAATAAAATTGACTGAAAGCTATAAACTTAGGCAAAACTAAACTAGAATTTATGAAACAAAGTTTTACTAGAAATTAGAAAAATATTGAGAGAAGCTTCTTACATTTTATTCGTTGTCAAATATTATTCTGTTGGTGACCCAATCTGGGAGGATGGATTTGCCAGGATATGTAGCACACATAAACCATAATAAACGTTTACACAATTTTTGTCATAAAACTCGAGGGAAAGAAATCACTTAGAAGACATAAAATTAAAATTAATGCGAGGATATGAAGGTGTAGATCGGATTCAACTGGCTTAGCAAAGGGACCAGAGAGCGGATAATGAGAACACGGCATTTAATCTTCCGGCTAAAGGGTTAAAAAGGAGGGACACTATTGGCCAGCTAAGCTTATTAAAAACGTCTGTGATATTCTTATGTGAACAATGGTTGCTCTCCTTTATGGCGGTGTATCAACTTCTCGATGTCCCGGATTCAAATCCCGGTTCGCAGCTGGACTATCCTGACTGAAGTTTTTTGCAGATTTCTCAGTCCCTTTAGGCCACAACCGCTTCCTTCGTCATTCTTTCTAATTCATTATTCATTCTCATCTTATCATTCGATTCTGTGGACTAAGAGGATGCCACAGTAATCGCTTAACAACAGACTATTCCGCCTTTAATTATTCGTACTTGCTGCTGTATTTAACAAAAGATGTTTAAGTAAAAGACATACAGAATTAATTGCTTATTTAGTTTAATTTAGTTTGGTTATTCCGATACGTACTTCTGTCTCCTGTGTTTCGACTATGAGGTGGTTGTTTTTCAAGGTCATGGTGATGATGCTGCCGTTGGCACTCTTGGAGGTGTGATTCGGTAAACTGCGCGAAGAAGTCCCAAAGCTGAGCAGCGGTGATTGTGACGTCCCGTATTCAATTTCTTCCCCTGGTGTCATCGAAAATTGCGATTCACTCGTTTTCAACTGCAGATATGAGAGTCAGTCCCAAACAAACAAACAAAAATAATATATTAATCGTTTTAATTATCGTTTCCTTATTAGAATTATTAAGATTTAAAATATAAACGTCTGTTAGATTTCTAATAAGGTTTAAGGACTGTTTATCTCAATATCATTTTATAAAACTGCTAAAGAAAAAGTTTTATAGCGGCGGATTTATGCATAAATATTAAGGTGTATTAAAGTATAAGTTATGACGACATACATTAAACATTATATTAGTTTTATCAGTACATATATTTATTTTCTACGCTGTCTGTAGAAATAGTGTTTTAAGTTGCTCGCTCTTATTGCCCAAGAAAAGGAAATATATACCTGGAAACGTGTTTTACCGTATTTAATTTTATGTTTTCCTAATATCACATTTCCTACAAACACACGAGT